GGACCATGACCCCTTCAGGAGCCCCTCTCCACAGGCTGGCTGTGAACGGCTGCTGACTGAAAACAGGAGCATCTTGGGGCTCAGTAGGCTGGTGGGTACGTCAAGGGAGGGAACCCCTGCTTCTTACTGCAGGGGTCAGTGCCCGGTATGGAGTAGTGTCGAGGATCAGAGATATCTGGGTGGGGAGAAGTTACTCCAGCCAGGCCCAGCCTGAAGGGGTGCTACCCAAGGGGCCCCTGGAGTCCCCCAGAGCAGAACACGGGGCAAAACTGGCAGAGACCTGGCCCCCACTCTTGACACTCTGAATGGGGTCCCACCAGGACTGGTGTACAATGCTTCGGGCACCACTCCCTGCTACGACATTTTCCAGCAGTACCGCAGCTGTGCAGACCCCACTGGCTGCGGCCTGGGCCCCGACTCAGAGGCCTGGGACTACCAGGTACATGGAGGGTGACCCAGACTGACCAGCTGGGGGTACTGGACCCCTAGGACTGTCAGGTACCTGGGGGCTGGGGGGCTTGGCTGCCTTGGCCAGCCTGACAGTGGGTTATGCCTGCAGGCCTGCACTGAGATCAACCTGACCTTTGGCAGCAACAATGTAACTGACATGTTCCCGGAGCTGGCCTTCACGGAGCCGCTGCGCAGGCAGTACTGCCTACACACGTGGGGCGTGGAACCCAGGCCTGATTGGTTGTGGACCAGTTTTTGGGGAGCAGGCACGGCCAGGGGCGGGACAGTACCCCTCCCTCATGGGGGATGGGCCTCCTTGGTCTCTCCATCCTGTGGCTCACAGGTATTGGGGTCCTGTTCTGTCCCTTTCAGACCTCAAAGCTGCCAGCAACATCATCTTCTCCAATGGTGACCTGGACCCCTGGACTGGGGGTGGGGTGAGTGGCGAGGCCTGCCTAGCTGTGAACCAGGCTCTGTCCGTTACACCTGGTTCTCTGCCTCCTTCCTTTGGCTCCAGTCGTCTTTTGGTTCTGATTTCTTACCTTGGATATGGGTCTCCATACCCTGCTCCCTGACCTTGCTACTGAGCAGAGGCTCCGCTGTGAACTGGTCACTGCTTTGGCTGCACCCCAGAAGCTGTGCTGTGGCCCCACCCTCACGAGGTGCTTTTCTGACAGATACGGACCAATCTGAGCACTTCGGTCATTGCGGTCACCATTCAGGGGGGAGCGCACCACCTTGATCTCAGGTGCACCTCGACCCCACTGCTGGGGGATCTCCTGGGGTGCGGGGTGCTCTGCCTGGCTCACTCACATTAGTCCTCATTGCCAATTCCTGGTGCCTCCTCCTCAGAGGGTCCAACCCAGCGGACCCCCCGTCTGTCGTGGCGGCTCGGAGGCTCGAAGCCACAGTCATCCATCAGTGGGTGAAGACGGCCAGGCGGGAGCAGCGCTCGAGGCCCAGGGCCGAGGGCCGGCCCCCGTCCAGTTCTTGAGACCACTCAGGGGAGGAGCCTCGGGCGCTACAGCAGCAGGAAACCACACCTCCCTCAGGCCTGTGCGTGTCTCCGAGGCCCCTGAACAGAGTGGGTGGCAGTATGGTGCAGAGCACCTTTCTTCTGCCACCCCTGGGGGCTCCAAGGTGGCATGGGCTCCCTGTCCAACCTCCCTCCACAAAACAACACTCCAACGATCTGTGAGATGATGTGGGAGGGAGCAGGCTAAGTAAAGGGAGTGAACCAGTCAGAACACGTGACTCCTTGACTGTGATTTGGGGACCCTCCACCCTCACTGCACAGGAAGCTACTAGGGGAAGTGGGGTGGGGGATCTGCAGAGACTGTGCTGGCCCTCCCAGCAGGCAGCCTGTATCCCCCCTCCCCACCAGTGGAGGCACCTCCAGATCCTGCTACTGCCTGGGCTGGGGAGGGGCAAAGCTCCTTGTTCTGCTCGGGCCTTGTACACAGCTGGTGGTGGTGCGGGGGGACTTGGGGCAGGTGGAGGATTGCACATGACTCCCAAAGAGGGCCAGGGTCCAGGGTGGGCAGAGGCAAACTCCCACCATGCATGAGGCCTGCAGGGGGCATATGGTGGCCACTGTTTGCCACCCTGTCACTGTTCAAAGCCTGTAGGAAGACAGGTCAGTAGTCCCGCCAGGGCTGCGCAGTGTGGAGGATTGCACATGACTCCCAAAGAGGGCCAGGGTCCAGGGTGGGCAGAGGCAAACTCCCACCATGCATGAGGCCTGCAGGGGGTATATGGTGGCCACTGTTTGCCACCCTGTCACTGTTCAAAGCCTGTAGGAAGACAGGTCAGTAGTCCCGCCAGGGCTGCGCAGTGTGTGTGTGTGTGT